ACAACGACAATTAATCTGTAATTGAGGTTTAACATCCACTCAATACTGTCGTGGCCTTGAGTTCACAAAGCATTCTCAGACTTAAGTTAAAAATTTACTCAAAATTTTTCGCCTTATTTTAACTAAAATATAGCCCTTTATAAAACTTTTGTTGTTTTAATGTATCATATACATCAATAAGAAACTATGTGCAAAGTTTTATGTTTCTGGATTTCTCCAGTGAACAGTGATTTAAGTTGAGTAAATTCTTAACTTGAGTCTGAGAATGCTTTGTGAACCCGAGGGCAGGTCTTTTCAGGAGTAACATATTGTTTTTAAAAACAATAGTTATTGACAGAAACTGGATTGTAGGACAGGTTTGAAGCCTATAGACCTCCTCTCCATAGGATTAACATATGATATAAGCAAAGGAAATGAAAATGAAATAAAATAGTGTTTAACAGTCTACTGTTCTGCTCTGACTGGGCTAATGAAGACAGGCATGTGCCGTACAGTGCACTATGAGGGAAATTTTTCCCTGACAGCAGTGCTAAGGCCAAATCTTATATCAAATTCCAACAGTCAAGAGATCTTGTACGTGCATGCCAATGTATATAAAGGACCTTGGTTTTTCATCCCATCCGAATGACTAGACAGCTGTCCTTTTCTGGCCTTCCATCCTGTGCCACTGACAAGGGAAAGCCATGCCGAAAAATCCCGATGAACTTCCTCGGCCAACACCGGGAGCGAACCCACAACCTCCAGGCTAGCGAGCCAACATCTTACCCACTTAGCCACCGTGGCTCCTATAAGCAAAGGCTTTATGAGAAACAGACAAACCTATAAATATAAATTTTAATCATACGAAATGTCTGAGTGATATTGATAGAGTCCTGTTCATTGTATTATACACTACCAGTTCAGTTACCCCATATTCTTAAGACTAGCTTCACTCATGTGATAATAATTTCAGAGATATTATTTCAATTAACTGGTTTTACAGGCAATATATAAAGAACTTGACGCAGAGGAACTGCTGTGATAAATTTAGTAATCTGTCAAAAATAATTTCCACCTAATCGAAGTTGCCCAGATCTAAAATACTTTGTAAAACTATAGTATCCGAGTAAATCAATCACACCATGTATGGAACTATTGGCTAGTAATTTTATCTTAAGTGGGAACGGTATCTAGGAATACACAAATCATGTAATCATAAAATAAACAGTACTTAGTAAACAGTAGTAAGTAAATAATACATAATTAATAGTATACAAACAATATTATGCCATCAATAATAAGTAAATAGTATGTAAACAATAATATACAAATAATATTATGTCATCAATAATAAGTAAATAGTATGTAAACAATAGTAAGTAATAGTATGTTAACAATAGTACGTAATCAATAGTATACAAACATAGTATGCCATCAATAATAAGTAAATAGTTTTAAACAATAATAAGTAAATAGTATCTAAACAGTAGTATGTAAATAGTATGTAAACAGTAGTAGTAGTACGTGCATTCCAATGTATACACGGACCTCAGTTTTTCGTCTCATTCGAAGGACTAGACAGCTGCCCTTGTCAGGCTCTCCGTCCTGCATCACTGACAAGGGGGAACCACGCCGGAAAATCTTGATGAACTTTCTCGGCCTATGCAGGGATCGAACACCCGACCTCCAGGCTAGCGAGCCAGCATCTTACCCACTTAGCTACGTGATCCCAATAAGATAAGAAATACAACTCTTGATGTGATGGGGCGGTGTCGGGGTTTTTTTGTGTTTTTTTTTGGTTTTTTTAACAAGCGCAAGAATTATCACACCATAACTTGTAAATCCAGAAAAATAATTTGTATTTAAAAGTCTTTTTTTTAGGGCTATTACTCAACATGGTGTGACATTGTATCAGTTTACAGAGATAGGTGTCTGATGTTAACAACACGGCCCCCCTAGTTGAAGCTTCATTCAACAGTTTATGTTTTTACACAATAAATCTTAAACATTTTTTTTTTCTTACTTTAAACTAAAACAAATTAAAAAGATTTGGACAGAAGTCATTTGTTGTAAATATTATCTTATCGAAAAGAGTGAAAATCTGTGAAGGAAATTAACCTCTCTAAAGTAAAAAAAACAAAACTAAATTATTTAAACGATTCCATAGACCATAAGTAACATTTAAAAAATCGCTGTAATTGTTTAAAGTGAAACAGTAAATATTCCATAGACCATAAGTAACATTTAAAAAATCTCTGTAATTCTTTAAAGTGAAACAGTAAATATTGTTTTGCAGACATTCAGGGTTATATATGCCTTCAATAAACGAGGAATAAAAATATAGCTCATGTCAAACTAATTTTTTAATTTTGTTTTTTTAGGGTTTGATAAATAAATAGCCACTTAAAAATATATATGCAAGAGCTAAATCTGCCTATTGCAGGTCTTTCTTCGAACCTGAAATGTTATCTAAATTATTAATTAGATATTAATTAACTTATCCAGACTATAATCAACTCTTGATACCATCGCTAGCCTGCGATATTTACTGGATTGGAATACATTTTGTGATGGATAATTTAAGTAAAAATGGATAATCAAGACCTTGTTTATAATTACCAACATTAGTAGGCTAATGACGGTCGAGCTAGCCTAAAGTTGAATCGCTAATATCTTGGTTCAAAATAGAGGAATTTGACTGAAATTTTCAACATATTCTCTTTATATCATCTATTTTTTTAACTATTATAGCAAGAACCACCAGCTCTTTATCTAATCTCCCATAATTACCCTTTGAAAGAGCTAAATCTCTATTCTTTAACACCTAGAAATTGACACAAAATGGGTTGCAACGCATATGATAAAGTAATATATAAACTGATTTACATTCAATTGTTTCCGTTCTAACTGTAATTTCCAATCAGTTATGTTCGTCGAAATACACAAATAGTCCAAATTTAATGGCAGATTTTGGCATTTGGTTATTCAAGTCTACACTGGTAGTATTCTCCTGTGGGATACATTGAGCCCCGTTCACCGAGTCTCTTCATTACAAATGACACTCTAAAGCATTCTGGCACACGATTGTGTATATTGAAAATTTTCATTTTGTTCTAAATATTGGATATCAGAAGACCATCTTTTGATGATATTGAGCCAGAAACTGGCCTCCTTTTAAGTGTCTCATGAAAAATATTTTGTTCTGAATTTTAAAGGAAGCAAATTTTTAATTGGTGTGGCCTTGTAAGGGGATATACATGGCATTAAATATCTACGATTTTATCAGTATTAAATTTATAAGTGAGTTATCACTCAGGTTTTTGATGAATAATGTTATTTTGTAAGATTTAAAATTAGATATTATAATAAATGCTGAACTTAACTCAACCAGCAAAAAAAATGATATGCAAAATATCAGGGCTATTTTAATAGTGCACTGGAGCTCCGACACAACCCCTCAAAGAGAGAGAGAGAAATGGGGTTTAACGTCCACTCGACACAGACCAGGTCATTTTGGGACTAACACATGGTTCAACTCCACTTTAACAATTCCATTTTAACCGGAGGACCTGGAGAAAACCCACAAGGCTGGACAGGCAACCCTACTCCTTGTCACGTACAACCGAGGATTCGAAACCATGCCAGTTGACTCATTGACAGGCCTTATGATACAGCTCGCACATGCTAACCATTCGGCCATCCAACACCCCCAACCACTCAAAGGAATAGAAATGTAAATGGTTGATAAAAATAAACATATTTATTGTTTAAGCATTAACAAACATGCTGTACAGTGTGTTAATACGGCTCTGAGAAATATAACCAAAGTTTTGGTTCTGGCATGGACCTTATAACACTGAGAACTGCTAAAGGATGAATCTGTGCACAGACACCATATAAATCTCAGTCATAGTTGTTATTTGTACGTGTATCAAAAGAAAATTAATTTTCCGACTATTACTCGGTATTACCGCGTTAAAACTGTAAATAAGGTGTGTTAATTAACAAGGGTGAAAAACTGTCTGGGAGGTGAGATAATTAACGCTAGGGGTGAAAAACTATGCGACAGTGCGTTTTCAGTAGAGGTGTGTCAATTAACCGACCGGTAAAAAATGAATGTCAATGTTGTGTATTGTTTGGGCGTGTTTTCTCGCTAGTTGCAATAACTGCATCAAAAGGAGTATAATCAAGGACCAACAGGCTTTACCTGACACCTACGTGTTAAATCAAAATTTGGGAAGTAAAACTGTTTTACCGTGCGATTTATCATTCGACCGTGTGTTTTACGCAGGTCTTTGTATAATTAAAGACAGGTCTTTAGACAGGCGTGTGTGCTCGCTATGATCTGCGTTTCTCTTACGTGTCTTTTGTATTGCGTACCATATATATAAAGTTGAATTTAATGAAATAAAAATACGGACCATAATCTATCGTATACGGAAGGCAAATGTAATGTCGTCATTTATAAATACCCAGCAGTCAGCGCCCAATTTGAATATAAACGGGAATATAGAGAGTAAATCCAGCAAAAACAACAGAAATATATTTCTGTTTTGTTACTAAAAAGACACGCACTCACCGTTTGACATTTATTAAATTTATAAAAACGTGTCACGTTGCGTAAATTGTACATCTTTCCTTCAATAGCAATAACCATAATACAGAAATCTCCATATTGATAAATAATACGGCACAACCAACCGAACAGTGGTAATTTCCTCACAAATGATATATTTAAACTAAATTACTTTAGCTTTTCACTAAATTTACATGGCATACAATCCAACGATCCTCATTCCAGAACTCGTAATTTATAATAGCCGCTTTTATGCAATTACAGAATTTTCCCGTGATCTAACATATCAAAGAAGCACATACGTCCGATATGACAGGTTAAATTATTTCTTCAACTTTATTATTAAGCTGGATTGGTACATGTCCCTGGTTCTGGTTAGTAAACTGGCTTAACTGCAACATTTTTAACTTTCCCAACAATAAAGTATGTTTTATTTTATTTTCAGGTTGCTCGTTTTATTGCCAATAATACAGTTTTATCACAGATATTTGATAAAGAAAATATAACAGTTTTTATCCCATATAATGCTGCTTATTTCAACTATAATCCATTCAAGTATGGGTATAGACAAAATGATGTACAAGCATGGAAGAATATACTACTATATGGTTCATGTGAGTTTTTATTGTTTTACATTTCACTGCATTATTTTTTTTTTCAGAAGCCTTTGCCTCGTCTATTATTGACAAAACTACATTTATTGTGTATAAATGACATATAGCATAATAACAATTGACATTCTTCAATTTAATTGACATGATAAGTGAATTACAATAATAACAATTGACATAATATAACAATTACAATAATTACAATCAAACATAGGAGGGCAAGCTTCGCCATAATAGCCTACATACCAGTACAAGTTACATAATACAAAATAGCCCTTAAAGTTTTTATTGCTTGATAAAGATTTTTCATGTTAGTATATATATGCTACATCACAACATTATTTCTTTATCTGTTTGTCAATATTTTATGGTCCAGCTTTGTAATGTCTCTTAATGTCAAGGTGAATCTTCTTTAAATAGGGGGATCACGTGGCTAAGTGGGTAAGACGCTGGCTCGCTAGCCTGGAGGTCAGGTGTTCTATCCCCGCATTGGCAGAGAAAGTTCATTCAGATTTTTCAGCGTGGTTTCCCCTTGTCAGTGATGCAGGATGGAGGGCCTGACAAGGACAGCTGTTTAGTCGTTCGGATGGGACGAAAAACCGAGGTCCTGTGTACACATTGAGGTGCACGTAAAAGATCCCTTGGCTGTTGGAATTCGATATAAGAGTAGGCCGTAGCGCCGCTGCCCGGGCAAAATTTCCCTCATAGCACACTGTATGGCTTATGACCGTCTTCATTAGCCCAGGTTAGGAGCAGAACAGTAGGACGTTAAACCCCATTTCATTTCATTTTATTTCTTTTTTAAATATATGTGGTGTAAACTTGTAGTATCCTCAGAATTGCTCAATAATATGCATGTTGTCAGAGCAGTGACATATGCTGGGTTTAAATCTGAACGTGGCAGAGTTCCCATTTGTCAGGGGTAGCACTTGCGGCTGACAATGCGAAGGTGCTGCCTAGTAACTCATACAAATATCTAAGGTCTAGTCATGTACACTGAAATGCACTTGAAAGAATATTGGACATTTGAAATTAGACGAAAAGTGGTCAGAAAAGCAACTGCCTGGGCAAAATTCGTACAAATATCTAAGGTCTAGTCATGTACACTGGAATGCACCTGAAAGAATATGGACAGTTGAAATTAGATGAAGAGTGGTCAGAAAAGCAACTGCCTGGGCAAAATTCTCCCTAGCACTGCATTGCATAATGATAGTAAAAAAAAGATAACCATATGTTAAATAACATAAAAAAAGTATTATATTGATAAGATAGGCATACTCCATTCCCATCCTGTACAATCCTCTAGAGTCTAGAGTCATTATATAGAAATTACGATGATTAATCTATGTTTGTTTTACAGTGGATGGTGCTATATATCTAAAGGACATGAAAGAAAATGTCCATCTATCATCTCGTCTTGGATCAGATCAGTATTTATACTTTAATTATTACTCATCGGGAAAAGATGGGGTAAGTAATTTGTTATCCAGTGTTGAATGAAGTTGGGGTGGGTTATTAAAATCTGCTCTGTCGTTCCGCCCATTTTTTTGCGTAGCATATGTCATTATATTATTATTACAGACATAAATCTATTGTAGTAATTAGGTGTTTTGCTGCTTAGAAATTTCTCTAATTTAATAATTTTTATGTTTCTATGGAAACAAATTTGACATATTTATGGTACAGTATATGTATACAAGAGGGCGCAATGTTTTTAAAATGACTGAATTACATTATTGAGTCAGTGTCTACCGAAAAGTGTATTTCTCCCCAAAAAATTTATGGTTGGACTTGTCAATTATGGTTGTAGGGTCAAATTCCTCACATCATGGATTTTCTTTTACTCTGGCATTTCCAAAAATTTTGATCGGAGAATATCAGATAATAAAGATCTTATCCACTTTTAATATTTTGTGATGTATTTCCAAAATTGTACAAAGAGTTAAATTCACAGATCGGTCTAGAATTTGCATACTGTCAAAATTCAACATGGCAGATTTAAGATAGGGTCAGAGCAAATCTATAAATGTTTTTTACAAACCGATGTAGACATAATATGATCGCTAATGATTTAGAAAATGGCGCTTACTGATCTAATATGAAAACACAGTATTCTACCATTGACATTCTGTTTAGAAAAGTCTTCCTTCAAGTACCAGACCAGTACTAATAAACATATTATATCTTGACAGACAAAAGGGATGCAGACAAAGGCTAAGCCTGTTCCCCAAACCCATTCAGACATCCTGAATAAAATTATTGTTACCCCCCCCCCCACCCAAAAAACACCTCTTTTATTCCACTCCAGTTAACCAAGTCATGATTCCACTCTACTTACATTCATCATGATTCCACTCTAGAGACAGTCAAGACTTAACATAATTCCATTCAAGACCAAGCATGATTCTTCTCTGGACCTGCCATGATTCCACCCAGAATCTGTCATGATTACACTCTAGACCTGGAATGATTCCACTCTTGACATACCCTGATTCCTTTCTAGACCTGGAATGATTCCATTCCAGACCAGTCATGAATCCACTCTAGACCTGGAATGATTCCACTCTTGACATACCATGATTCCTTTCTAGACCTGCCATGATTCCTTTCTAGACCTGCCATGATTCCACTCTGGACCTGCCATGATTCCACTCTAAACCTGCCATGATTCCACTTTAGACTTACCATGATTCCACTCTAGACCTATCATGATTCCACTCTAGACCTGCCATGATTCCACTCTAGACCTACCATGATTGAAGAATCTGAATAATTAGTAAAGAATTATTATATCTTTTTTTTTCAGTATCATACTGTAAACGGCGCTCGCATTGTACGAGGTAATATCAGAGGAGATAATGGAATAGTTCACATAATTGATCGAGTTATTGCCCCTTACTGTAGCCATAAAAACTTACCAGATTATCTTTCTCATCCTGATATCCCATCTTATTCATTCTCGTAAGTATATTTAGAATTTGACTTATAATTGGAAATAAAATGGGGTTTAACGTCCTACTTTTCTACAGCAACTGGGCTAATGAAAGCACCATGCAGTGTGCTGTGAAGAAAATTTTGCCTGGACAGCGCTTTACCTCTTATTTTGATTTCCAACTGTCAAGGGTGCTTTTACATGCACGCCAATCCACAAGACTTGACACTGTCCTTGCCAGGGCCGCTATCCTGCACCACTGATAAAGAGGAACCATTCCGGAAAATGACTTATAATTGATTGATAATTATTTCCCTTTATATAGTGGTTCTGTTTATAGTACTGCTCACCCCACCCTATATTGCTTGACATTTACTTTGAATATTTTCGTATAGAAGTAAAGAAGAGTGTTTGAATAAGAATTTTCTGAGATTGGTAAACGATCAGAAAATAGAGTGACACATAGGGAGATCGCTTAAGAAAATGCTGTCACAGCCTATAGATTCCTTTTCAACTTGTGTAGAGATTGTCACCCATCTTCAAAATTATATGTTATCATTAATATATGTTTAAATGCTTAATAAAATGCCATTTATATTCGTAGATCAATTATAAAAGCAAAGATAGTGGTACCGATACTAGCAGCAGAAACTAACAGATCTGATTTATTCTTTACATCGTTCTCACCTAATGATTCCTTTCTTTATCCAATGCCTCAATATGGACAGGATAAACTCTTCCAGGATTGGCTACTCCTGCAAAAGGTAATATAGAATAATTTAATTAATGTTTAATTGTATCAACAGTAAATCTGTGATGCTGGGGCAGATCCTGAAATTTTTACAGGAAGGGGTTTGCCAGGTTTCTGTTAAGGAAATTTGACAGATGACAATGTATGATGCCATCATCGTCTCCAAATTACGTAGCCATACATATGCACTGAGCTTTTTAAAGAGAGAAATCCCCCCCCTCCACCCGTTTGACGTCAATTTTTATAATGAATTAATAGGATCACGTTGTGATTGAATTTCTTTGATGCAAAGCATTAATTATAATATCACACATGTCTATATCATTATCTCGCTGCTTTGAATGCCCATATAATCTCCCATCCCACCATCTGATGATAAAGCACATGTAGCTGAGCAGGGGTGGGGGGTGTTGGACCCCCTCCTATGGATCTGCCCGTGATGAACAGTAAAATTATTTATGACAGTGATCGCAGTACAAAATGTACAAAATGGCCTGTGAAATATTGCAGACTTTGTATTTAGTGAAAGTGGGAGAAGCTACATGCTGGCTAAATTGGATCTTGGTCTTGGACCTGAACTGTGTGTCAAATTGTTTGTCAAGAATAAAGACACTTGATCCCTGTATTTAAGTGGGCACTGGCTGGATGAGGTATGAATTACACAAAAAAACTGTTCCAGTCTTCATTAGCATTTGGGTCTCTTTCTACGATTTAAAAGCTCTTGGGTAAAGGGAGGTAATTAGACAATACCTGTAGAGTGGATAAAACACATTATAGATATAGCCATTATTACTGATGCACTGCTTTAGAGAAAGAGAAATGAGGTTAAACGTCCACTCCACCCAAACAAGGTCATTTCGGGATTATAATATGGTTCAATTTTATTTCAATTGCTTGCACGTAGGGTTCTTTAGCAGTAGGAGGAAACCGGAGGACCCGGAGAAAACCCATGAGGTTGGACAGGCGACCCTACTCCTTGTCACGTACAACTCGGGATTCGAAACCACGCCATTTGACTCAATGACAGACCTTATGATACAGCGCGCACGTGCTAGCCATTTGGCCATCCATCCCCCACACTGCTTTGGACAGAGGCATAATACAAATTGTAATAATATTGCAATTTGAACTTTTCAAATAAACATGAAGTGGGATCAGTTGTTTTTTCACAGCACAAGGTATAGTAAGATCTATTTGATAAGTCTAACTTCAAGTTTGGTCAAAGGTCACGAGATGTAAATAGGGCTAGCACTAATCCCAACCCTAACCCTAACCCTAACCCTGGACCTATCCCTAATGCTTACCCTAAACCCTAACCAAGTCACTCGCCAACAATCACATGCCCTTTACATTATTAACACCTCAGCGACCTTAACGAAAATTGAGTTGGCCTTAACAAATAGATCTAGCCCTAGGTATATCCAAATGTAGTGATATAAAAATGTGAACCAAACTTTAAGAAATGGATGCTGCTTATTAATATTGATTGCAAATACAAATTTTCTATTTCTAGGTTTATAAAGCCCATATTATACCATATAGTGTACAGTTTATACCTACAGTCGGAACTATACCAGATTTTACAACATCAGCTGGTGATAAAATAACTTTTACTAGACATAAAGGAAGTGGTAGGTATACATTATAAAATAACTTTTACTAGACATCAAGGAAGTGGTAGGTATACATTATAAAATAACTTTTACTAGTCAGGAAAGACCCTTGCATGCCGTAAGCATAATAAGATAAGACAACTTGTCTGTGACATCACAATCGGTGGAAGCAGATGTTCAACTTTATTAGATGAAGAAGAAGGCCCATTCAAAAATCAGCTAAAGCACTCAATGTAAAACAGATCGCTTTTCTCCCGGAACTAATAGGGTAGTCATTATTTTTGTGAATCAGGTACTAAAGGGTAAATGCATGTTATCCTTTCATCTGTAGAGAGCCACGGTGGCTAAGTGGGTAACACACTGGCTGGCTAGCCTGGAGGTCGTGTGTTCGATCTCTGTATTGGCTAAGAAAGATCATTTTCTGAAGTGGTTTCCCCTTGTCAGTGGTGCCGGGCAGAGTGTGCCTGACCAGGACAGGTGTCTAGTCGTTTGGATTGGACGAAAAACCAAGGTCCTGTGTATGGCGTGTGCCCGTACCAGTCGGAGCAGAACAGTAGGATGTTAACCCCCATTTCATTTCATTTCATTTGCTTTCATCACAATACATACAGGTGTCAATAAGAATGTTCAGTATTTTTTGCAGCAGAAAAACGATTGTATCCAGTCATATCTTCTTTTTTTTCAGTATATGTATCTAACAACCGAGTTCGAGCTAGAATAGTACAAGCTAACATACCTGTTACAAATGGTGTATTACATGTTATAGATGATTTATTACATTATATCTATCAAAATATTCTACAAAAAATGGCATTTTTACCTGATGCAAGGTATAGTACAATGAATATTTTGATCTTTGTGATAAAGAGTAACATCATAACTTAACTCATTTTGCTTTAATTATTTTTTTTACCAAAATCTAGGAGAACTAAAACGTTTGTCCCTAGTGTCCGATTAAGACATAAGGTAAACAATCTACAGTTAATATGGTGCTAGCTCACTCACCAGGAGTTTCAGGTTTCTGTCACCTTTTTGGACAAGAAAGATCCTCACAATTTTCCAGCTGGATTTTCTCTTGTCAATGGCGCAGGACAGAGCCTGGCAAGGAAAACCGAGGTCACATGTGTACCATTGGCAGTATATTAAAGATCTCCAGATAATCAACATTGTCTGCGAGAAAGTTCTCTGGTATATAATACATTGCATGATGTATATGCATCTTCATTAGCCTGGGACAGGGAGGTCATCTTGTCAGCGGTGCAGGACAGGGGACTTGGCAAGGACAGTGTATAGTTGTTCGGATGAGATGGAAGAAAAAAAGAGGTCCCATGTACACATTGGCGTGCACATTAAAGAATCCTTGACAGTCAGAATTCGATATAAGAGCAGGCTATATCACTGCTGTCTGAGCAAAATTCCACTAATAGCACACTGTATAGCCTATGCCCGTCAATGCAGAACAGTAGAACGTTAAACCCCATTTCATTTCATTTTCTCAAAGTAGTAATGGTATTGTTTGATTTCAGTAATATGTTAGGTTATATGAACCGATTACCAGACGCAGTAAAACAGAGTTTACAAAGAACGAATGAAACATTCACTGTATTCGTACCAACTAATTGGGCATTCGGTAAAATACCAATTACACAACAAGAAGAACTGAGAAGAAATGATGAAGAGGGTATGAAAACACTCAATTATGTAAGTAGATCGTCTGTTTCAATGGCATTTAGTAATTGAATTTGAAATACACAGGTCACAATTCTATGGAATACAATTTTAAGTTAGACTTCGAAAAAAGAGTAGGGCAAACTTTGCCTTATAGAAGATTAATGACGAATGCCTGTCTTCATACGCTCAGAACAGTAGGACGTTAAACTTCATTTCATTTCTGTATTTACAGTTAATACAAGGTCATATTATATCAGGAGTAGATTTAAGTTCAAGTGATTTAGAAGCTGATCAAACTCTGACTACAATAGATGATAAAATAGTTTCTATAATACACGTACAGGGAGGTAAGATAACATATTTTTATCAAGAAGAAGGTTTATTCATGGAATCAATAGGTAAAAATCATAAATGAACATTGCTGAAAATAAGCATGCCTATTTTAGAAATTTAGATATAACACATATAACCGTTAAATATAGCTAAAAACGTTGAGATATACTGATGTGCTTGTTTTTAGCTACGATTGGATACCTTTAGTTCCAAGTGGCAGACTCAGTTTCTTTATTAATGCATGTAACATCTTAAAAATAAGATAATTTCATACTATTATGACTATTTAAACATACAGAGGCCAATGTAGTGCCACAACTATCACATAACTCCAAATATTCACGTTTAAATTAATGAAGCGGTGTTTTTATCCGACATACACCGTCGTACATCTCCCATGTAAAAACGGCATTCCTAGTAACGGCTTAATTCCTCGATTTTAAATACGATGATTTATACCTGGGTTAGGTAGGATTATAGGCTTAATTGTAGTTGGATGTGGCAGAAATATTATAAATAACAATATAATCAATCGTTGTTTTAATGAAAAATATTGTCAATTTTGCTTACTGATGCCCGATGTGATTTGCGTTGGGCTTTGCTCGGTTGAACTATTATAGCACCATCTCTTATCTCGAAACATGGAGGGTTGAGAGATGAGGTTTGTTGTCTAAACGGTTATATGTGCAATATGACATCCCACATTTGATTTTTTGTAATACACTGTAGTATTAATTGGACCATTTGGATTTTTATCCGGTTTCTCATGTCTTTGATGGACGTATATCGATATCAATATATATTTATTTAACTAATATCTCTAATATCTATATATATTGATGTATATAGATATCTATCCATATTGATCGATATCGTTTTCTATCCATATTGAGTTATCTTCATATATTTTCATATTGATCTATCTAAATATATATCCATATTGATCTATCTAAATATATATCCATATTGAGCTATCTGAATATCTATATATATTGATCTTTCTAAATATCTATATATATTGAACAGTGTTATTGTGTTATTTAAATGTGTTTTTATATGTATTTATTTTAGAGACGTATATAGAAAGTGGTACAGTTCGTGCCAAGATAGAAGTAATGGATATTGGCTGTACTAACGGTGTTATTCATTTTATCAGTAATGTTCTATTTATGAGAAATTTTACTTTATGGGAAGCCATGGAAAATATTCCACAATTAAGGTAAGCTTAATTATACCAGTTGGGTAACATGATATTAGGCCTGGAGGACGTAATTTTTTGATGACCCGGGTGGTACCATAAGGTTGTGAATGCTGACTTTTGCACTGTTTGACAGCTGCAATTCTAACCAGGAATAAGCCATAGAGCCACTGCCCGTGCCCATCTCTCCTTATGCGCCATCCAGATCTTTAAGATCCCAAAATGAACAAAAACTTGCAGTTTCAACTTTCAGGCTTAAATCTTTTGGACACCGATGTTTTGCTCACTGTGCGCCTCAATTGTGGAACTCGTTACCATACAACATTAGGAACTGAAAAAGTCTAGAATGTTTTAAGTCACAGTTAAAGACACACCTATTTCTAACAGCCTATGATTAAAGTATTAAGATAGATTCTGTTTGATAGTGGAGAGCCAAATATGCCCCAGGAGCAGTACTTTACGTAATGGAATGAGCGCTCAACAAAAACTCACATTATTATTATTATTATTATCTTAATTAGCCTGGTTAGTGCGAAAAAAAATAAGAAATTAAATCACATTTCTGACATGTTCTTATTTCAGTATAATGTACTCGTTTGCTCTCGAAGATCAAGATATTGAAGACAAGCTGCTGTCAGATAATACTGGTCCTAGAACAGTTTTTATGGCGGGAAATTCAGTTTTAGAACAAGCCGATCAGCAAGTAATAAAGACATTGAGATCATTCTCCTATATTGTTCATGAGGTAAGTACCGTTAGGTGTTAATATTGCTTTTCAAAGTGTTGCAGGACTCTCATGATTTGCTCTACATAGAGAAGTGCTTGCATTTTCAATAAGTTGGTGATATTATATCAATTGAATTACATTTATTATCTTGTTGAAAATGGATGATCAGATGTACTGTAATATCCAATTTCCAATAATAATCTCACAATATTCTGTATAACTTGCAGGCAATAAAAGGTCAGATAGTGCAAGGAATTCACATGTCATCTGATATAGCAAAATCTGTACAAGTTGGAACTATGGCCGGAAAAACTCTTACATTATTTAAAGATAAAGAAACAGGAGGTCAGTGGAAAAATTGGGAATGATATTGATATTGGGAATAATATTGATATTGGTAAGATCAATAATATTGATATTGGGAAGATTAATAATATTGATCTTGGGAAGATCAACAATATTGATCTTGGGAATAATATTGATATTGATCTTGGGAATAATATTGATATTGATCTTGGGAATGATATTGAGACTGATATTATTAATAATATGGATATACATTGATATTTATATTTATAGTGGGATTGATATTGGTAATGACATTGAGATCGATCTTGGAAATAATATTGGGAGTAATCTTGAAATTTATCTTGGAAATAATATTAGTGATATTGGGATTGGTATTGAGATTGATATTGGGAATGTTATTGATATTGTGATTGATTTACAGTGTATGTATATTGGAAATACTAATGATACTGGGAATAATATTGATATTGGGATTATTGTTTGACCCTTCAAGTTTTTGATATATAAAGAAAAATTGTCTAACTTAGATTGGTATTCATTGACACGTACAATACACAATTCTTTGGAATAGAATTACTCTTGATTACTAAGCAACGCAATGAGTAAACTCTGAAATCCACAAGTACAAGGATGAATTCCATGACTTGCATAGGTAACATACTGTATGATCTACACTGCCATAATGATACCCAAATAATATATTGAAACCAAACCAAGGACATTATTCTATTGGAATATTCTAGGGATGTGGTTAGAAGACATTATTCTATTGGAATATTCTAGGGATGTGATTAGAAGTGGATAAGTCTTTCTGATTTTGCAATGACTAACTAACAAACTTTTATTTTGTAGAGTTTGAGGTAGAAGGAAGTCATGTTCGAGCACGTGTAATAGTGAAAGATATCTGGTGTTCTAATGGTGTATTACATATAGTAGATGATATTCTACATTTACCAATCAGAAATATCGTACAGGAAATAGCTAAACATAGCGATCTTACGTAAGATTATTAGCAAAATATCAGACACTTGTTTATTTCAATAGTCCTGTTCATGTAATAAAATAGGATGGGTTTTAACTCTTTCTCTGCCGAGTGGCACTAAAAGACAGTACAGCTGAGTGCTAAGCCATTTAGGTATAAATAGCTCTGATTTGGAATGGTTTGGTGACCATGTGTTAGTCCCAAAGTTGCTCAGTTCCTGTCAAGTGGACGTGTGGATGTTAAACCCCATTGCCCTCCATCTCTCTGTTATCAGAAAGTGGTATTTACTTAAGGCAGTGGTTATTAGTCTAGGAAGGGTAATAAAATCTTAACTTACATCCTGGATCACTGACAAGGGGAAACTACTCTGGAAAATTCTGAGGAACTGTTTCGGCCAACACCGATATTGAACCAGGGATCTCCTAGTCAGTGAGCCAGCGACATACTCACCAAGAACCACACTATATCCTTTCATCTTTCGGATTTCATATGGTCTTGCTTGGTCCTGCAATGGTCTGGTTGTAGCAAATGGACGGTTAACACAAATAGGAATTTATAAAAATCAGGATCTGAATATTAATGTTTTATTTTCTAGTTTTACGTCTGCTTTGATAACAGCTGTACAAGATTTAAATGTTCAACTATCTAATTTATCTGAGAATTATACAATTTTTATACCTCGGAACGATGCCTATTCTAAACTACAATGGTCTACTATAGATGCTGTATTAAAAGATATACCTCGAGCTAGAAAGGTAAGTTTGACTAAATAAAATAGAAATTAAATGAAATGGGTTTTAACTCTTAACCGGTTGACGTCATTTTGACGTCGTGACGTCAAGTGGTCAGGCTAAATAAAGGCTGACATCAAATATTTTGTATGCCTATTTCAATCGACTACTGTTGAATAATTATAAGTGATAGACTCTTGACACCAATTAAAAAGTTGAAAGGGATAAGTTGATCTATAATTTGCAAATCATTCTAAGTATTTCAACTACTTCGAGGGTCTTTAACGTTCAAGACATTGTCAAATTACGTTTTTCATCAAAAAATGTTGAACAAAGACATGTTTTTCTCAATTAAAAAGTTGAAAGGGATAAGTTGATCTATAATTTGCAAATCATTTTAAGTATTTCAACTACTTCGAGGGTCTTTAACGTTCAAGACATTGTCAAATTACGTTTTTCATCAAAAAATGTTGAACAAAGACATGTTTTTCTCAATGCCCTTGAGAAGACAAGTTCCTATCTGACAGGCATGCTTGGCCATATCAATTAAATACGAAACTAAATACACAAATGCGGCTTATCAAAAAGGTTCTTGCTGTGGTCGACTTTAGTCAATCGTGACCACTTAGCAGTATAACGCTGTGGTGACTATAGTCGACAATGACCGGTTAAGGGTTAATGTCCTATTGTTCTGCACCAACTTGTTTAAAGCAGATAGACATTCACCATGAGGGAAACGTTTCCTGGGCAGCAGCATTTCTCCTTCCTAATCTTTGTCAAAGGTTTCGTTTACACGCACAACAACTTATACACAGATCATCAGTTAATTTTTTCTTCAATTAGCTCCCATTCCCTTTCATAGACTTCAACAACAAATATTGTGTTTTCTTCTTTGAGCGGCATTTAGCAATTGACATACGTAATACAAAAACATAATATGGAACACAATTACTATTTTACTTAAAACGACGTTTCGTTGAGGGTTCTCTCAACGCTTTCAAGCAAATGATAATGAAAATAATGTACAGAGGGTTTATATACAAAAACAAGTAACAACTAATTAATCTTAATTAATAGGGAAACCATTCAACATCTTAAGGGTTAGGCCTTCTCGGTGTGATATTCTTATCGCGACACCGTAACATGTTAAATGGTTTCCCTATTGATTAGATTAATTAGTTGTTACTTGTTTTTGTATATAAACCCTCGGTACATTATTTTCATTATCATTTGCTTGAAAACGTTGAGAGAACCCTCAACGAAACGTCGCTTTAAATAAAATAGTAATTGTGTTCCATATTATGTTTTTGTATTAAATATTGTGTTGCGTAGCAAATGGTGTTCTGAATAATATTGATGATTATAGTACCAAAAAATAGGTAGATCTCGCTATTTTTTATATTTAATTTTATATGGGGTTCAAATTCCTGTCAGTAAAACTCCTCAAAAATTAGATGTTATGGAGTTGTGACTATTAAAATGAAATGAAGTAGGGTTTAACATCATAAGCAGGCCTGGAAATAACTTAGTACCGAACATGTATTAATAATATCAATAAAAAAGACAAATCAGTGCCGGACAAAATGACAGTTACCAGAGGTTTAGTGCCTGACAAAGCCTGAATCTGTGCCTGACATTGTCAGTGACAGCTATAAGGTGCCTTATTTCCAGGCTTGATTCATAAGGTCCACTTTTCTCCATAAACCGGGCTAATGTTTACTTTCAGATCTTACAGAGTCATATAATATCTGGTGTAGCTAAATATATAGACGAGATAAGAGATCGGGAAATGTTAAAAGCAGATGAAAATGTTATTTATATTATCAGAAAAAATGGACATGGTGGGTACTTATACTTTAATTAAGGGTGATCATAAACCATTAACAATGTAAAGATTTATTCTCTGTGGCTTGACGTACTTGGGTGAGGGGCTACAATGGCCATACCATCTTGCTTTGGGTCTTCAGCAATGACTAAATAATCCACATTTCCAGTACATAATACCTTATACATCTCCAATGAAAAAACCTAATTTATACATTTAATTAACTTTTAAATATCGTGCCCCCCCACCCCCTTCCCCACACACACACACTCATTTTTTCGTAAATCTGCCATACATCTTAGAGTCTGCTAATATAATTATAATATAATTAAAAAGAATTATTGAAGGAAATTAATGTCCACAATGTATTTAAGTGGTATCGGTTTTTTTTAGTTCAAACTTCTAAAGATGTTAAGTAGGGAGAGAATGCATTATATGTATTAAAATCTTTGAAAGTTATTTGAGTGATTGTTAATCCTTTAAAAACTACAGTATTTCATGAGTAGTTGAATCTCTAACAGGGAATATCATTTCCGAAATGGTTCAATTCTATTCGTATTTGTTTTAAAGGGATTACTGACAATATTTTTTGTATTTCCATATATTTATAAAGTTGATTATATTTTCAGTATTTGCTATAAATAATAATTTATGGGCAAGAGTAATAAAGCCTGATATACCTGCATCTAATGGTAGAATACATGTAATAGATACTATATTCTATCTACCTTATATGACTATTGCTGAAGCTCTGGAAAATATGGAGGAACTTAAGTAAGTTTATTATAATTAACATTGATAAATTTTATTGACTTCTGATTCATTTATTTGTGTTGTAAAACCTGTAGCCCCCCAGGCAAAGCAGTGCACTGGATCCCCTTCTTATGCAACCAGGAATACAGATGTAAATATGGTCGATAAAATTAAACATATTTATTGTTTAAACATTAACAAATATGGTTGATAAAATTAAACATATTTATTGTTTAAACATTAACAAATATGCTGTAACACTGAGATTATAATATACTCCTAATTTGTTAACTTCTATTTTGCCCCAGGTTTGTACTACCTCTGGTTATTCAGTTTCTATTTGTATCCCTGGTTAATTACTTTCTATCGGCCCCCCTTGTTAATCAACAGCTTTTGTACCCCTGGTTAATCAATTTCTATTGTAACCTTGGTTAATTAGCTTCTATTTGTACCTCTGGTTAATCAACTTTTATTGTACCCTTGGTTAATTAACATATATTGTATCCCTGGTTAATCAGCTTCTAATGTAACCCTGGTTAATCAACTTCTAATGTAACCCTGGTTAATTAACATATATCGTATCACTGACTAATTAACATCAATATTAATTAATTAATTAACATATATTGTACCCCTGATTAACTAACTTCAAATTCCATTTTTATTTCAGGCCCTTTCAAGATTTGATGAGTTTAGTCCCTGAATTTAATGATTTAATAACATCAAATGATAATCGTTTAATGACATTATTTATACCGTCTGGTGATTATATTCAATCTTTAGATTATCATAAATTAGATAAAATACAAAAATCTCCAAAAATACTTAAACGGGTAAGTAGATCTATAGCTATCTGTATCCTATTGTGTTTTATGATACAATTTCAAAATATTAGTTTTATTATTCATAAAGTTATTATACACTACTACAGCTCCCCAGAGCAGAATTTGTTATTTGTGAAATAAAGTGGGGTTTTTAAACGTTCTAATGTTCTGCTCCTAAACTGGGCTAATGAAGACAGGCATACGCCATACAGTGGGCTATGGGGGAAATTTTGCCCAAGCAGCAGCTCTATGGCCTACTCTTATATCGAATTCCAATTGTCAAGGGATCTTTTACGTGCACGTCGATGTATACACAGGACTAGACAACTGTCACCACTGAGAAGGGGATACCATGTCGGAAAATCCCTTATGAAATGAAATGAAATGTGATTTAACATGAAACTTAATTTAGACATTGTCCTTAACAAGCCCTCCGTCCTGTACCACAGACAAATGGAAACATGTTTGGGAACATAAATTTACTTTTTCTGTATACCCTTTTGAAGCGCACACGTCTGTATACCCTTTCTGAAGTCCCTTAATTTAATGATTTTACCTTTTACCCTTATCTCTTTTATTATTTTCAGTTATACGCTGGTCATGTTTTACCTCAAGCTAGATATGACGATGCCTTTCTACGTAAATATCCTGATTCTGATTATGTTACTACCAGATCAGCATTAAATGTTACAATAACTATCAGAAGATCTGCAACAGGTACATTCATTCATCATTTAATATATCTCACTTCAAATATACAGTAGTGGTAAATTTGGTGTTGATTTGATAAAGAGTAGGTGAAAACTGCTGATGTCCTGGCAGAATTCTACTTATTGGCATTGCATATACGAGCTTATAAAAAAATAACCATATGTTACCCTCACAATGACCAAGGGATTGTGTTGACAAAACATTAAAAGCTATACCTTGTCCATATATTTTACTGATTAAAACTATCTTGTCTTTGTTACTATTTCAGTCCTCTGTACGATCCTGGCATAGCTCCCCCTTGTCAGTGATACAGGACAGAGGGCCTGGCAAGGGAAAATGCATAGTTGTTCGGATGGGACAAAAAGACTAAGTCCTGTGTACACATTGTCATGCATTAAAAGAACCCTTGGCAGTTAGAATTTGATATAAGAGTAGGCCATAGTGCCGCTGTGCAGGCAAAACTTTCCTCACAGCACACTGTATGGCGTATGCCCATCTTCATTATCCCAATAATCAGGGAAGTAGAACGCTAAACCCCATTTCATTTCATTACATTTCATTTCCCTTATAGCACATATGATACCTGTCTTCATTAGCCCAGTCAGAGCAGTAGGACGTTAAGCTCTATTTCATTTCATTTTATTTCATTTCGTTTCATTTTGAATATTTACAGGTTCATTTATTGATGCTGGTTACGAGAAGACTGCAATTGATCTTGTAGCACAAGGTTTTGCTTTTACAAATGGTGTTATCTACATCATTGAGTCATTCCTTAATTATTCTCCTCTCACATTATTAGAAAGACTGCAATCTGAAGACAGTATCAGGTAAGTTCTTCACCATCTGTGTATTAACCAATTTAACATGTTTCAGTAATTTAAAGGTGTGGATCATCATTTGTATTTTTCAGACAATATCTAAATCTTACATAATGTATCTTTAATGTACCTAAATTTGACATTTAATTACCGGTAAGAAAAAAATCAACAGCAGATAATCTTCATATATAGATTCTGTCAGATTAAAAAGAGGACCATCCAAAGATTATAGGTAGCGCTGACCATATCCTGTTTATATCGTCTGCAGAGAATGCCAATTGGCATAATATTAACTTCTTTTGGGTTTTTTCCAGAACATCTATTGCATTATTAGATTTATTAGTAACACCAAATGTTACAGACCTATTATCACGAGATGGTGTTACTTTCACGTTCCTGGCACCAAGTGACAACTCGGATAATTTAATGGAATTTTCTGATTATGCAAAGAAGCAAGGATTATCTCGAGAGGATAAATTAAAAGTAAGTTAGAAAGTTCTTTCGGTCGCAAATGTCTTTAAAAATTCTTTTCCACTTGGACCAATACTGTTCTCTCTAGCTCAGGGTTGTTGAGTGGTCTAATGCATATGCTTTAGATCGTAAGGTCTGTCATTGAGTCAAGTGGTATGGTTTCGATCCCAAGTTTATATGTAGGGTGACCTGTCAAACCTCGTGGTTTTTCGATTCCCAGCTTGTATGTCACAAGGAATAGGGTCACCTGTCCATTTTCCTAAGGCTTTTAAAGACTTCTACTTGCAAGTGAATTGTAGATTTAAAATTGAACGATATATGTTAGTCCCAAAATGATCTAGTTTGTGACGTTAACGCTCTCTCTAAGTAAATCACTTTACACAATTAGCTATATGCTGTCATTTTATTATTGTAGGTATTTTGGCGTCATGTTATAAATGGGAGTGAAGTGACTTACATCGATTTAAAACAAGGCTATGTTAAATCTGATTCATTACCAACTAATGTAACATTACAGACAGCTAATGACGGTAAGATTCTTTTACAAACATCTCAATATACAGGGTGAGGGCCAAAGGCGATTGGATCTCACAGAAGTGAATGCTCTCAATCCCTTAAAAGGAGTCAGTTATACAAGATTATTGGGTGACAAGGCATGCACCAACTGAATATGATGCTATCTCGACCAGTCATCAGAGCTGAAATATTTCATTCAGCATCATATCTGTGATAGGACTCTATTTAGTGTAATTCTATTGTAATACCATCTATTCGGGAAGTTTCAGGCTGACAGTTGAGCACCCTCAAAGAGTTAAGTGAAGTTCCAAGTTAAAGTTGCCGATCCCAACAATTTTTCAGACAATATTTAATTTCTAACAGCTAAATCCATGATCACATGGATTCAACCTGAACATTTAGTTTAGAAAACAAATCCAAAATATCAATGGTAGATAATCTCCTGTTTAAAATGTCAAGAATCTGACTTGATGCCTGTTGTAGCCTAGATCTGGTGAGAAAGTGTTGATTTGTACAACAAGTGTGTATGACGCCCCCATTGCAAATCATAGGTCCTTATGCAGTTGAAAATCCTTTATGGTCACTCTGATATGTAAAACCTATCTATTGTTTAGAGAATGCATGGGAGATAACCTCATATTGTACACTGGAAATAACTCTTCTTAAAAATGTCCTCAATATGTTACGAGTGAGTGTACATTTGAGTTATTTGCCCTTTGGTTTGCCCTCCTTACAATATTATTGTTTTGGAGGAAAATTTATACACTTCTTTGATACAAACTAGTAGGGCAGATATGACCTCTTGACAACGATTGAAGATTGTTGGAAAGCAACATCTACCTTTAATTTGATTCACATTGTTCAATATGCTTGTAATGTGACATTGAACCAGTGGCATACAGATGTTTAGTGATGCCAGGGGACAACTCCTTGATTGTATATGCCCCTGAAACTCAAGGAAAGAGCCTAGTACTCAGAACTGTGAGAGAAAGGAAGACGCTTTACATATTTCAAATCCGAAGAAATAAACTTTACATTCAAATTATGTAGGATAGCTTGTACAACAATTTTTACAACAATAATTTCGAATTTAAAGAAATTTAATTAATTTCTGTCTTTGATTGAATGGCCCCCTGAAATGGATGCCTGGTGGGGCTGTCATCCGCTCTGCATGTCACTGCATTAAAGGGACCATCCCGATTTTTAATAGAGCTTGGTATACCAGTCATCATTTCCATTTTAAGTTGTTTCAAAACGTATCGCGTATATTGAGTTAGTTGCTCAGCCTAAGCTGGAGGTTTTTAAGGGCTTTTAACAAAAATTAAATGGTTTTACTCTCCCAAATATAATCGAGATTGGCCCTTTAAATCAATTATTCACATTATAAGAGATTTAAATTCATTTATTCAAAGATGTCTGATTAATACTAAATTATTTCTCTTTACAGACGTAATGTTCAGCTGGAAAGATGTTCAAGGTCGTATTATCAAAGCTAATTTATTGGCATCCAATGGAATTATCCACGTCATCGATAATTTCTTGTATTCAACATCATCACCAACGACAACTGCAAAAACTTCCAGCAGAGTATCTGACAGTGTGGAACATAGGACACCGCCTGCAACCACCCCGAATGCACAGCCTGTACTCAGTGGTGTATCATTACGCTTGGAAAAAATGCTTCTTATATTAACTGTGATGGTGAGCTGGACATCAATGCAGATTTATTCATGACAGTGATATCAAACCAAAAATATTTTCTTACAAAAAAAAAAAGACTTTCACCAGAAATCCATTCTTCATTTTTTAACATAGATGTATATAGAAACATTTGTATCATATCATTTTGTATAAATATTCATCAGTTGTATATAATGCCTTCAAAGAAGGAATCCTCCTTTTATTGCACTGTCAGAGCCACAGCGGACTAAAAAATAGCCAATGGTGCTCCTAAACTATGATTTAGTTTTTAATTCATTGGTATTTATCAGTAGGCCTATCTATATTTACTTCCTGTATCTATTTTTGACTCTGTACATGTAATGGTCACTATCTCTGCTAAAAGTTCTTTTAACTATAAATCTGAAATGTCCACTCAATGTTTCAATGATTTGTGCATGCATAGGGGTCTTTAGTAGAGGGAGGAAACCAGAGGACCCATAGAAAAACTACAAAGTTGGCTAGTGACCCCCGCTCCTTGTCAAGCACTGGCTTGGGATCAAATCCACACCATTTGACTCAATGACAGACCTTATGGTCTAAAGCATAGGCCTACGTGTTAGATCAGTCGAAAGGGAGTGCTGTAAATATAAAAGCACAAGAGGATCTTTCATAGCCCCTTAATTGAGACTCCTCGATTTATTCTGCTGAGCTTATGGTATATTATGCTTTTAAGCCCTGGTTAAAAAAAACCAGTAATCTGAATTTTTTAGGACATATCAAATCCCTCAATGCTATGTTTTGTTGGTAAGTTATATTGTATATAATAGGTGCCATTACAATGGTTGTTGAATATGTGTCTAGTTTAAGTTAGATTGGTATTTTCTTCTGGATCTAATATTTTTGTCAATTCTACATGAACATCTGTTTCCTACTGAAGTGATTATCTTAACTAACTGTTTTGGTGAACAGATCAACCCCCTCTATCAGTTGGTTGTTCTGAAGTTTGATCCTACACTACGACAAGCAATGGGGTTTGCCTTTCTACAACATCTCCATCTGTACTCTTCTCAAATTATTTAAATATATGCATAGACCTAGTCCTCACATTAAATGTTGTTTGACTATTCCACTTTAAAAGTGGGAAGAAAATATAGTATGCAGAGAAAACCCATTTATGTAGGCGACTCTACTCCTTGTGACAGACTCAGGATCCAACTCATAGATACCAGGCCCTGGTTTCACAAACTTAAGTTTAGAATTTACTCAAAATTGTTTGCCTTATATTAACTAAAATATAGCCTTTATAAAACTTTTGTTGTTTTAATGTATCAAATACATTAATAAGAAGCTATGTGTAAATTTTTGTGTTTCTGGATTAAAGATATTTCTAATAAACAGTGATTGAAAGTTGAGTAAATTCTTAACTTAAGTCTGAGAATGCTTTGCGAAACTGGGACTAAGATGATCTACACCACCCACCCAGTGAAAATAGGGGTTAATATTAATCCAGCTGGTTAAATATAAGGACTGTTTGTAAATGTATAATGTCCTCTAGTTGTAGTGCTAGTTTTTGTAGATACATTTTTCATAATAAAGATTGCCAATATATAAACATATCAATTTTATTATATATACTAAACGGCTTTGTTATTATTTCATATGCCCCACTTGTTATCAGCGAGGAAAATACTGAAACTGATTCCAAATTCCTCCTCCTGCCAGATAGTAGAATATTTAGTAGTTTCCCTCCAACCAGCTGCTCATTTATTTTGTCCGATGGTACACACCAACACTGAAGCTCTCAATTAGGTGAAGCAAAGTAGCAACAGATATTCAATACTAGATGATCTGAGCTGATATTACTTCCCTTTGATAATTTTTCCCTTGCAGTATATGCATCATGGACCATTTTAAGGAGCAACATCGAGTCAATCTGGGTTTTTTTTAATTCGATTTAGTACACCAGTACAAAATCTGTGAGAATTATCCTTAACAGCAACCTTGTGGTTAAAAGACCAACATGCGCATAGGGTTCTTTAGCAGTGCGAGGACCTGGAGAAAACCCACACGGATGGACATGCGATTCTACTCAATGACAGACCTTATGATACAACACGCACATGCTAACCACTCGGCCATCCAACCCCCCAGACCAACATGTATTTTTCGACAAGTCAAGGATTTCCACCTTCATGGTTTTGCTTATCGAACATGGCGAACATGGCGTATTCAATTTTTGGCATGATTCTACTTTTGAATTCTCAGTGGGAGTTAGTTCTGGCATGTGGCTAGAATCTGACTTGAATAAAATCCATCATCATCACCTGATTCAAAACCAGAGATTATATAATTAAGAACTACTCTGTTTTGTTTTAAAATTGCCTGCAATTTTCATTTCCTCACAATCACATCCAAAATATTTATATAAGTGTTGAGAGGGGAGAGTTATACAGAGAGAGAGAGAGAGAAATGGGGTTTAACGTCCACTTGACACAAACTAGGTCATTTCGGGACTAACATGGTTTAATTTTATTTCAATAATTGGTCTGCGTGTAGGGGTCTTTAGCAGTGGGAGGAAACCGCAGGACCCGGAGAAAGCCCACGAGGTTGGACAGGCGACCCTACTCCTCGTCACGTACAACCAGGGAATCGAAACCACGCCAGTTGACTCAATGACAGACTTTATAGTACAGCGTGCATGTGCTAACCATTCAGCTATCCACCCCACCCCCCCTCGAGGTATACATTTACATAATAATACCAAACACAATTTTATAAATACTTTTTTTTATCCTTGTTCAAACATTTTATAGAAACAAGAAAAAGTGAATTAATGTTAAGATAAGGTGAGTTTTGTAAGCTAAAGTATTAATAAAGGTTTTCTAAGAATATAGGTGTATTAATAATATCTAATAGAATATAGTAAAACAGAAATAATATAGATTATGAAATATAAATATTATATAATAAACAATATATATATCTCGACCCTAATTCAATTAAATAATTACAAAGAAGAAAAAAATATTTAGGTCCAATTCTTGTAATCTACAAGGGGGGGGGGGGGATCATAAATGTTCATGAATGAAAGATCGTTTTCACTTGAAGATAATTTCTTAATTGAAATTGGGCCCTGATAAAGCAGTAATAATAAGTGTCTTAAATATAACAACTTTCTTAAAATATATTTATATCAAAATTATCAATTTGTTCTAGAATCACCAATGCCTGTTATCAAATCCTCTCAATATATTTGTGATAATCCAGGGAATGATATCTGAATTGTTTAGGCTATATATAGAGCTCAGTCAAATATCTATCTCTATGGTGCATGGGGCAATACCCTTATGAAAAATGTTTTAACAGCTATGTGCATATATGGAGCAATATCCTTACAGCGATATGAAATAATCTTTAAATGTCTCTTAACAGCTATTTAATTTAAATCTATATTATATAATTTACTGTATATTAATTCAGGTTTATACCATTAATGTAACTATCACAGAATCCAAAACTAATGCTGAGTGGAGATCAAATTTTGTTCTTAATATTTCCAAATTGCTTTCTGGAATTTGGTTTTGAATTTTAATGTGTTCTCCACATTTGTATTAATATATTCTTCAGATGTAATAGACGCCACTTTTACATAATTGAGATTTGTTTTGTTTTTCTTTTTTAGTGTGTATATATCAGAAAAGTAAAATATTTTAGTTAAATTTTCCTTGTTTGATGCCCCTTTAAATGAAAGCCAGACCCTAAATATACAACTGAAATAAAGTGTGCTTGTTAACGAAATTCTTAAAATGCAGCAGCAACATAATTTACATTTCACAGCCAATGATGGAGCTTGAAGATTTTGATTTTCTTGCAAAATAATAACAGATATAGAACTAAACAATAACAAATACATACAGAAAAATAGTTATAATAACAATTTACATTTTTATTTCTACTTTGTTCGCAATCGAATTAGAATTACTTGAGGTACTGTCATATTGTTCTGATTGGTTTCAAGTTCCACTCAAAACTATCTTAATTCCCCAAAAAATCATATTCAAAATTATTGAATACAGAATTTATTTCTACTGCACTCAAAGGCATAAATTTTCTGATTTAGGATAAGGATTAATTTCCAAAATCACCAAATCTAAAACTAAAATTCAATCACTGCCAATGGCATGAATTTGTGCACAGGATTTAAATGAGTATCAATTTCATGTTATGAAATAAATATTTTACAATAATTGTGAGGGAAAGATTATGAAAGACATTTTATTTTTATACTATGCTTTGTCGTAATTAGAAGAAAACTGTAATAAGTGTATCTATCTATATACAATTGAAGAACACCTTGAGAAATATAAAACAATAAATAACCACTGTAGAATACAAATATCAATAATGGTATTAAATATAGAAAGGGGGGGGGGGGAATCCAGAAATATCAATAATATATAATAAAATAAAGGAGAGACCTTTCACCATCTAGTAAAGTATTATAATTATTTACAATATTTAATAAATCTTGGTTTAAGTTGCTTAGGTTTGTAAGATAGTTTTTTAAAAAGCAAGCGAGATGGTCATTACAATTTTTAAACAAGTACATCTATTGTTAAAACTTGTTAGGTTCCTTGTTCAATATCATGATAAATAATTTCCTGTACAGCACAGTTCAATAAGGTTATACAGACAATGATATAAACTCGGGATAAAACCCATGCCTTGCATAGATGACATATCTTATGATTGAAATATAGTGCCTGTTGTAATAATATAAAGTTTACTTTTCATAACGTGAGATATCAGTGCAACAAACACTAACTACAAAAAAAAACCAAAACAAACTCAACTAAGAAAAACAAAACCTAGCAAACATAGAACTAAAATAGATTTTAAAGAAATATATTTATAAATGAAGTATTAATTAACAAACACTGAACAAGTTTACATACAATACAGTATATAAACATTTTAACAATTATAAGTACTCTAATTATATTATTCATAAAAATAACAATAATAGTGTTATATCCTCACCTATTGAGAATTTTTTATGACAATGATGAAATCTTTAATTTCTATTAAACTCTGTCAAGGAATTTTAAAGATTTCTCTCTTAAATGAAGGGCATGATAAAACCCAATCATAAAGTATTGAAAAATACATAAGTAAAGGGAAGAGATATATCATAAAATATTAGAAACCGGTCCAAATCCAAATTTATCCATGTTACTTTAATTTTTGCTTGGGGAATTCTACATATATTTTATTCTATTTCCTTAAATTTTGATTACTGAAAGAAGCACTTAATAATATTTCACTTGATATATTTTAATTAATATATTATGATATTAAATATCTAATTATCTAAAATTAAATAAGATTAATTATTGTTATAATTTCTGTGTATATTAATTACCCTTTTAGGAGAAACTACATTTAGTTATTTATTATGCATATTTCAGATCTATTTAAATTTGTTTAATTGGTTATTAAATAAATTTATAATCATCTGAAATATAGGTTATCATTAAATGTAATATTAAATATAATACCTTCGAAATAAAATGCTTATTATTAATTATATCAATTATCAACTTCATCATTTATTATAATCATTATCGCCAAATTACATAAATTTCATATATTATGATACAGTTTAAATCTTTAACATTTATTACTCGTGTATATATCTATATCTATTGCATATTTATAGGCACTTCTGAGCATGTAATATCACATTTCTTCTAGGAAGATTAAAGGTAGTTTATATATTTTCTTGCTTTGACACTATTTTAACAAGTAGTATAATAAATATAATATTATAATATATATGATCGATTTCAAGTTTCATATCCATCAAAATATAAGAATTTTATTTTTATTTCAGGGCTTTCGCTTCCAACTTTGCTGGCCAGTCAATTTTTGACAATTAGATATTTTTTCAAAGAATAGGATATTTTTAGAATTATCTCAATTGTTTTATAAGTTTTAAAGTTTTTTGACACAAGCAATCTATATATTTCAATCCCTGTCAGTTATGATTGGCAAATATGGCTGAAACAAGAACCTAGGCATTGCAGCTGTATATTATTTGTTGAACCAGGGGTATTAAATCTTCTATAAAGCCCACATTGGACTCAAAATTAGATGTCATGGGTGTTAACTCTTATCGGTTTATATGCAAAAAATCACAGTAACTATGTCTAATTCAACAGGAATTGTACAATAAGTACATATAAATTTCTGTAGACAGTGTTTTACAGTAAGAGAAATAGACTGATTTTGTAGGAATATAGTAGGAATATCTGTCAATAATTATGAACTGTATATATATGATATTTATAATAGTATCAGATGACTAGATGATGATGATACACTTTAAACACCAACTATCTTTCTTGATATTAATCCCTGAAAAAATACAACAAACAAACATTTTAGGTTTTATCAAAACAAGGCTACATATATATGTAATTGTTAGAAACACCCTTTTACCTGAAGTTGCCATCAGACAGAGAGGGGAAATGTCTCAAACACTGTTATTTTCTACTACCGAATAACCAGCTACATCCAACTTAATCCGATACCGAGTCATTATCGGCATATATTATACTTGACACAATGCTTCAAATC